TCCCGCTCAATCACGAATTCACGACCGGTCCCCAGATCGTTCAATAAATTTTAATTTATTTAATTATTAGCCGTCGAAACTGTCATCTTCTTTGCTCGTTTAGAAGTATTTCATCACTTCGAGACGAAGATTTAACCACAGGGCCATCGAAAATCAAGAAGAAGCCACGGGAAGTGCGGTGAAACCGAAGTTCTGAGTGGATCTATACAGGTATGAGTGTATGAGTCGTTTTTCTGGTATTTCTTTCAATCATCTCTCTTTCAACCAAATCGAGGAAGCTTACACTACTGATTCCTATATTAGAACGTAGTGATGTTCCCATAGCTTACGATGTTACAACAGAATTGTCATCAGACTCCTGTGTCGGAACGTGTCTTTTTGTCTGTGGCTGGACTATTGTCCTGGAGACTCCACTATGGACCAAGATGTATCTCTTTATCTCCTCTTATCTTATCTAGTCAATAAATGAATGCAGACCGGTTCTTGAAATTTTGTTGGTACGCGAGGACAAGATAAGGAATGTGTGAGCCTTGCGCTTGGAAGACCTTGATCCCCTAGGTTCAGACATGTCGATATGAGTTTCAACGATCGATACCTGTGTGTGAGACTGAAGCTAACTTTAAAGAAGGAATCTCTGAGCACAGTGAAGAGTATTTTACAGATTTTGTTTCTCAATCCCCTGCAAATAGCAAGAACTGTGAATACCGTTGCTACACGTAATGATCATCCTAGTTCGGACTCCATTGCCAGGTATTTCCTGCCTAAATTTCTTCCTCAAGAATTGGAACTTCCTCATTTCCTAAACGTCCTCTAACTCTCTCCTTCTTTCACTTTCATGTCGTTTAGTCCCTGAAGGAAAGAGTTAGTTTGTCTGCATGTAGTCATGCTGTGATAATGAGGCCAATTTCATCATTTTGAAAGCTCACAGAGATCATCTCTTCCCTGCGAATCGATAGCTTAGCCTCTGCTCCACCTGAGCATTTGTCTTTCTTTATTCAATGGGCCAGTTGCCCTTGTAACAGAATCATGTTTTGATGCTTGGTTCTAGTAGTTTTATTCTAACGCGATTTATGACGTCATTCACTGCGGTAGTGCATAACAAGTTACGTCCTTACCGCGGTGGATGACGTCATAAATCAAGTTTTTTAAGGCGAGATACCTCGGTTTATATTCAATGTAGAATTTTGCTGTTCGGCCAGATCTTATCATTTTTAGTTGGTCTGCATGAATAAAGTATCTAAACTCAATTCTAAGACCAGCATGACTGGTCCATTCTTCCACTTCTATGTTTTATTTCTATTGTTTCATGTCTAAATTTTTCACAATTACCTGTTTACTCTGCTATCTAGAGGTGTCGTCAGCTAAGTTGGCATTTGTTTATATTCCACTTGCAAGCAATTGCGATGCCATTGTCGAACAGCATTAGAGGATTGACGGCAGCCCGATTGTGAGCTTAGTCAATCCTCGATTACTGGTGGACGACTACATTATAGTTGCTTGCAAACGATATGTATTCAAGTACCACCTTAGCTGAAAACACCTCTACCTCAAGTTAGCAGTATTACTTCTGATAGTTTAACACTAGTTTGTCCTACCTCTTGATGGCTTAAAGTTATTTGACCCATTTTATCTACTATCCACTGTCAACCTTCTCTGGTATTGAATCGTGCAACACACAAGAATATTTATTTTCGGTTTTCAGTGTACTCTCCGTTTTTAATTGATTAGAATGGGTATGTTTTCAAAACCATTCATTTCTCGAAATTCCATGTACAACAGTGTCTACTTGGCAAGTCAAATTTTTATGTATTTGATGGTTTTTTGCACAAAGGAGTCAACTTCTCAAAATGACAGCAGATAAGGCAACATTAACTTATGCCTCATACCCAACATCGACGCCATAGATGAGCCTACGTTACCTGATGAACAACCGTGTATCGAAGCTCAGCCATACTCTGTCATTTATTAAGCTAACTTTGATACCAATTTCGAAGACTGGAATGGGCTCGTCACTGGCATAGCAAAGTACATTTAAGAAGCCACCGTTCACGCCAGTTTAGGAAGCTTCATATTCCTTCTGCTTGACCACTGTTATTAATCTGTCTAATTGAATGGATGGTAAATGATATTTTATGATTTTTAGGAAAATCTTGCTTTTCCAAGATAATTTTGAGAAAAATGAGAGGAAATCCTAAGTTTTGGGCAAGGAATGAATGATATCAAGAACTACAGATAACATGCTTAAATCGGTGCTCAGAAAAAAATGATATGACTCTTTAACTCTTACCTAAATCATTACAGAGCCTCAGCAGGATCAGAAACATAGTATCTGAAAAGATAGTTCCATGCAAGTGTTTTCAACTTAAAGCAGATATTTTGAAAATTGGCAGAGGCGCCTATTTTAGAATAAAATCAGAAATTTATGTATTCCTTTGATGGAAGGTCATTTGAACCTTGATTTCAAGTTTAAAGATTTCAAACTATCCGAGGAATCCATCGCAGATCGAGCTTTAAATGTAAATGTATCAATTTTTGAACCTTTATAGGATGTGCACTGTAAACAGTCAATAGGTTTTTTCATTGAAATTTAACAGACACTGGTTTTGGTCGTTTTAAAAATTCAGAGCTTTGCCATGTTGTGAATTTAAAGTTGTCAATCTACCAATCCTGTAAAATATCTATTTGTAATGCTGCAGAAGGAACTGTTGGAAGTTGGCTCGGAACATGCGGTCATGCTGTGCACGTGGCGATGTTGCTCTTGACCCATCCGAGGGCCAACGGAAGTCCAATGAGCAGCCGAACCGGGTGGAAATCTATGAAAAGACTGTTGAAGTATTAGCTCCTGAAGTGAACAAGCTGCTTAATTTCATGTATTTTCAGGTGAGCATTCTAAATTTGTCAGTTTTTGACATTCGGTAGGTAGGTAATTGAAGGTGTATTTTAGGTGAAAACTTGCATCTCGTTCCCTACCAATGTGTCTAAGAAGTGTAACGGATCTTGTCGGGCCAGAAAAACATGCAAGAAAAAAGGGATATTTGAATGCTTCAAACCACAATTTCCACTGATTGCCACAATGCTAGAACTTAGTTTATGTTACCCACCTGACACCTGTACCTAGTCTTTAGTTATATAATTAAAAGACAAATAACTAAACAAAAGTATATCAATCACACTGATGAAATGAATAAATTAATTATCTTTGTCCTTAATATTAAAAATGTTGATGAAAATATTTACTTAACCTACTAAAATTACTGCTTTTTAGTTCCGTGCAAAAACTGGTGATGGTGCCTATATTGCACAACTATGTGATCTTTTATTTATTTAGTATGAATTGGTACAATTGAAACAATAAAAATTGTTATAGTACATGCAAAATACCGGTCACCATGCCTGAAATTACCTGGCCCATTCAGCAAGAAAATGGTCTTGTCTGTGGACTTGTGAAAGGTCTTTTTGATATTCATTCAGTTTTTTTGTCTATTGTACTTCCATCTTATTTTTGCCATTATTCATTGGAAAATTTCATTATTTCTCGGATATATGTCTTAGGTTTAGATCTCAATTGATGATACAATGATAAATTCTCGCTTGCCAAATTATAATTACTCTTTTGAACTATTGCCTTGAGAAAAGTTTCATGCTTTCAGAGAGGAAACTACCGAGTGAATTTTTTGAAAATCTTCATTTAGAGAACTGAATCAGTGAGTTCGAAAACACACCAACTCGGGTTTTTTCCGATTGACACTTTTTTACGGTTTAGTAACACTTATGGATAGAAGCATCTGCCGGCAAAAGGAAATTTCGAAATTGCAATTGGAAGTGCTCGAAAGAGCAACGGGAAAAGGGAAAATTCCAAGTATTTCATTGGAAATACCAATTTTTGGCCATTTCAAGGGAAACGGGTGATCATCCGATTTTGCGGTTTTCTTTTTTCGGTTTAGTGTACCTTGTACCAACAAGTTATATAAATATTCAAGCGTTATTCAGGTCGAAAAATATATATTTTTCTGGGCTGACTATGAAAAATCAGTATCTGAAAGTCAGTGAGATCGAAAACACACCAACGCGGAAATTTTTAAACGCTTAATTCTCTGTCGTTAAACATGGTGTATTGATTTCAACTTGGTGCTTTACAAAGTCTCTTAGTACTTGTCCTTTGGCACCAAAAAGGTTTTGCTCAAACTAACTTCTTCGCCCTCTGCGCAGTTTTAGGTGTTTCCTGCACGATTATTTTTCCGGGTTGGTGTGTTTCGAACTCACTGATTCAATTATAAATTCATTTTGAAGAATAATCAGGAGTTACAGCGAATTGCATACATTTGCTTGATCAAAATGGATGGAAAATTGGTGAAGATTCTGAAACGCTTCAACTGAAGAGTGTCCTCACTGTGTTTGGATTTTCTCAAAACTTGGAATTACTCATCAAATCCTAATAATGAATTTGAGTTTCACTCCATCATTCTCTTCATACTTTACTTTGATTACACAGCTCAAGAAATTTCCAGTTTTAGTTTGTCCTTCGAACCAAACCAATTTTTTTCGTTTCCTAGGTGTTAAACAAATCGGGAAAGGCCCATATAAACTTCAGGAAAATTGTCTGGTGCTCAGGACGCCACCAATTTAAATTTTGAGAAAACCGACGATTAGATTTTTGCAAATATCTCCTCAACGGTTCATCCAACGAAGAAAGAGAAAGGAAACCAGTGGAATACAGTGCGGGGCCCACACTATATGGNGGGGGGGGGGGGGGGGGGGGGGGAAGCCAAAAAGTTCAATCATTTTCGATCAGAGCCAAAAATGTTGAGCTCTAATGAGGATCAGTACAAAACTGATGGGGGAGAGAGTTCAGCTCAGGCAGTTTGCATTGGAATATTAAGGTGAGGTCACGTCGAGAGATCTATAATTTCGGGGCTTTTTATTTCCATCAGTAGATCACACTTGTCAGTGAACCCAACTGAAAATCTTGCAAAATCCAAGATGACATCAAAGCACAAGTTCGAGGTACAAGTTTTGTAATGCAAGATGGTAAGTTTCGTATTAGTACTCATTAGAAGTCAAACGTTTTGATTCTGATTGAAAATTTTTGAAATTTTGGACTTTTGATCTCACTGACTTGTGTGATCTACTGATGAGGTATAAAAAGACCCAAAATTATAGATCTCTCGACATCACCTTAATATTCCAATGCAAGCTGTCTGAGCTAAACATTCTCCCCCATCAGTTTTGTACTGATCCTCATTAGCTCAACATTTTAGGCCCTGGTCGAAAATGTTTGAACTTTTTGGCTCCTCCCTCCCCCCCCACATAGTGTGGGCCCAGCATTATTTTACAACCTTGTTACACAGTTTGGGCCACGTTTTTAGGTTTTTTCTTCTTTTTTCTTGATTCTAAAGGAGATGGTCGACAAAATCACATTATAAGGGCGGAGCTAATGAACTGCTGTTTCACAGAATTAAATCAAGTTTAGAAACTATTGACATATGTTTCCTAAAAGTAAATTTTAGTCTCGGTTTTCAGTTTTTCTTTCTTTTTTTCTTGATTTTGAAGGAGATGGTCGTCAAAATCACAATTTAAGGGCCGAGCTCATAAACTGCTGTTTCACAGAATTAAATCAAGATTAGAAACTATCGACATATGTTTTCTGGAAGTAAATTTTATGCTCTTTTCAATGAGCATAAGTTTTTTTCTCAGATAATCGTGGCTGGAGATTTGAAGCAAAGTTTATCCTAAAATCAGCATAAATGCGCCTTTTTTAAGCTAATTTTTGAAGGAAACGTCAATTTTACGACCAAAATATTAAGCTAGAAAAAACAGGGGAGGGTGATTTTGGTAGGAAATTTTATGTTCTTTCTGCTGGTTTCCTTTTTTTCCAAGGGATGAACCGTTGAGGAGATATTTGCAAAAACCTAATCATGGGTTTTCTCAATTTTGAAAAATTCAAAATGGCAGCGTCCTGAGCACCAGACAATTTTCCTGAAGTTTACATGAGCATTTTCGGACTTGTTTAGCACCTAGGAAACGAAATAAATTGGTTTGGTTCGAAGGACAGACCCCATGTTGAGCGGTGTTATTCCTCAATTCATTTACTTCTATCAAACTGTACATGACATCTAGAAAAGTCTTACTTTCTACTAACAAAATCGTGTTTTATGCTCAGTCTGCATTTCAGCAGCTTCTGTGGTCATAATCATCAGTTGATTGTCAACATCGATGGTGGCCAGGAGGGTAGTTACTACAGCGCATACTGATCATGAAAAACATAGGTGAAAGAGTTTTTTAAGTTTGATGCACATTTCAATCACATAACTTTCACTGTCAAGAAATAAATCAATTTAGTGAGATCACTAATCTCTAATTCCAATTATTTCTTTCACAGCGAAAAGCTATTGAAGGATTTTGTGTTGGAAGCCTACTTGCTCACCCTAGGAAAATTTATCAGTATGTTTGCGGTGCTACATGAACTGAAGAATATGAACTCAAGTGTGAAAAATTATTATTCTACCTATCGCTGGTAAGTTGATGTCTGTAAAGTAATAAAAGATTTCTCCATTTTTAAGTTTTCTCCCATGTACCTGAATGAAGATTATTTTTAAGAAATATGTGTACAGAAGTAATGTCGCAAAAGTCTCTACAAGAGCTGGCCAAATTTAAATATTTAAGTCTTTTACTTTTTGATTCGAGTTTATTAGAACTGGGAAAAGAAAAGAAGAGCCAAAAGTCCCACCAGTCTGAATGCATCAGTCATTAGTTTGGCTCATTGGTTAGCATGTTGAATGTTGAATCTGTTGAATGGTGCAATTTTTGGATGTGACATTTGTCTCTTCTTTTCTTTCCCTAGTTCTATGTCTTTCAGCCATCTGGCATATCTCCAATTGTCAAGGAATTTTACCCAAATGTGTCAGGAAAATTCCTTTTCTAAACTCCGTGGCAACCCTGTGTCGCATCTGGAGAGTTAAGTCCCTTTTCCTTGACATCAAACAGTTTTCTCCCTTCCTTCTGATTCATATCAAACATCCGTTGTAGCTCAGAAGTATCGTGACAAGTCTCCACACTATTGCTTCTTTTTTCAGTGCCGCCCAGTTCTTGAAAGTTATGGCTGATTCACACACCCTGCAGGAGTTGCAGAATTTATCCATGTTTCTTGCTGCACAGAACAAAATTCGAGACACGACGAAAGAGAATTTGGAAAAAATAATCGGTTACAAAGAGCTGCTGTCTGATGTTGTCAATCTGTGTGTGCACATGTTTGAGACAACAATGTACCTGGCACTTATCGAAAAGCACATGCTGGTTAAAGTGAGTATCATGCCATCCCATCTTCGTGATTTGTTCGACCTTCGAAAGTGATTGGTTTTGACATTTTTTTCAAGGCCTTGAAAGTGCTTGAATTCCTCTCTACTGATAAGAGTAAGCAGGTAATTTAAAGAAACAAAGAAACATTTTTTTATGTTTCATTGATTGTAGGAAAACATCTTGTTCACAAACGAAATTATTCTGAAACCAGAATCCGAAATTGCGGATTCAAGCTCTTATCACAGGGAAAGGACCCTACAACAAAACGGCCAAATCGTCTTAAACACGGAATCGTACGATTTTCTCAGGGATGATAGAGGGTCTTCCCAGACACTCAAAACTGGTCATATTTTTTGCCTAACCCCCAGGGAAAAGGGGGGGATGGGGGGTCAAAGTCAAAACCTTTGAAGTAGCATAACTTCTCAACGGTTTGTCGTAGAAAGATGATCTTGGTGTCAAAATTTCCAGAAAAATGAGAGCTTTCAGAATATACTCTAAAGGTTTTGACTTTGACCCCCCCATCCCCCCCTTTTCCCTGGGGGTTAGGCAAAAAATATGACCAGTTTTGAGTGTCTGGGAAGACCCTCTATCATCCCAGAGAAAATCGTACGATTCCGTGTTTAGGCCGATTTGGCCGTTTTGTTGTAGGGTCCTTTCTGTGTTTTGGAAAAAAAATTGGTAAAAAAGTGAACTATTGTTCCAGTCATAAGCCAGTTAAGACTCTAAAGATCTCAAAATTGAGATTTTAACACTTCTCTCAGAAAAGCGTTTTTTAAAAGTACTCGCTGCTATTAATGCTCTTAGATTTTAAACTAAACTTTTAAACTCAAGAAATGTAACTGAAGTTCAGGCGATTTGTGAACTTTTAATAAGATTTTATATTTTGTCCATGTGTCTCATTGTCAGTCTAACTGTTCTTGACTTCATAGCAAGACAGTTCTAAGTTACTCAGTATTTTTTTCTCAGGTTTCACAATATTTCGCCTTTGATAAAAAAAAAAATTAAGTTTGCGAATCATCCAAGTCATCATTTTTGTCCAGATCTGTGCAAAGGAACCTTGTCTTCTGGGAGAAAATTTTCCTTAACTT